CTCCTCCTCCTCCTCCTCCTCTTCTTCCTCCTCCTCCTCCTCCTCCTCCTCCTCCCTCCTCCTCCTCCCTCCTCCTCTCCTCCTCCTCCTCCTCCTCCTCCTCCTCCCCTCCTCCTCCTCCTCCTCCTCCTCCTCCTCCTCCTCCTCCTCCTCCTCCTCCTCCTCCTCCTCCTGCTCCTCCTTCCCCTCCTCCATGCCTGCCCCCTCATGAACAGCTCCTCCCTCTCGCACCCGGAGACGTCTTGCTAGGGCGGGCCAGGCGCTTCTTCCCCAACATTTAGGACCCTTTCCTGTTTCTCTGCCGCAGCCCAAGAAGCCTCAGACTTCAGCTGTTTCTACACTCTTGTTGCAGGAAGGGCAGCAGCCTCCCGGGAAGCCTCATCTAGTGCTAGCGCCTCCGCGCCGGGTACGGTCATAGGCACTTCGCATTTCGGACCCTGGAGCTTCCAGGTCTGCAGCGGCTTCACGGACGGAGGGCGGGTGGTTGTCGAAATGTGGCTCTCGCCCTACAGCGCCGCGCACGCGTGCGGACCCGCGCTCCTCCTGTCTGGTGGAGGGCGGCTCCTCTTCAACATGTGGCTCCCGTCGTCCTAAGAGTCCACCGCAGCCCCAAGGAGTTTTATGGTTGGCGCCCCAGGGCCGGAGTTCTGGCACGATTTGGGGACGTCAGGGTGCAAGAGCCGCGTTGATTCGCTGTTTCGGAATTATGGAAGGGGAAAAACGTAAGTAACACCCTGACAAGGGAGGCCGCTTCGTAAACGTACCCAAGGAAGAAATCGAACAGGGCAGGGCCGTTTAGACAACGCCCGAGGCCCATCAGTAAACGTCCATTGTCGGGTCCGGGTGGTTTTTCCTCCCTTGAGAAGTACCAGGCGTGGTGTTATGGCACACTTCGGGATCGTCAGGACGTAACAGTCACGTTCATTCGCGGCGTTGAAAGCCCAGGCACGGTGCTGTGGCACGGTTGAAGACTCTAAGACGGTTGTCTTCCAACGGGGCACTGTCCGCAGTGTACATCAGTTCTCGCAGGGACCTGTAGGAGAGGAAAGTCGGAGGGAGGATTGATAGCAACATCGATGATGCGTCTTGGGTCTACAGTGGTCCTCCTCGTTCTCCTCCTCCACCTCCATCTCGCCCTCCTCCACCCCTTCCTCCTCCACCTCCTCCTCCTCCTCATCCTCCCTCCCTCCCTCCTCCCTCCTCCTCGACCCACGCTTTGGCGACACCCTCGGAGGGTCCCCGTTTGCACCCCGCGCCTCAGCACAGCCCGGGCGGGCCCTCGAGCAGGGCCGAGAGCGGCACCTGCCGGCCGAGGCACGCCGGGAGCGGCCCCGAGGGCCAGAGATGACGAGGAGGAGCGAGGAGGAGCGAGGAGGAGCGAGGAGGAGCGGGGAGGAGCGAGGAGGAGGAGGAGGAGGAGGAGGAGGAGGAGCGAGGAGGAGGAGGAAGAGGAGGAGGAGGAGGAGGAGGAAGAGGAGGAGGAGGAGGAGGAAGAGGAGGAGGAGGAGGAGGAGCGAGGCGGCAGCACCGGCCCGCGCGCTTTTCCGCCCCAGACCTGCAATGTCTTCGAAGGGGCACAGGGGCACACCAAAAAAATAGGCACAATCCCCAGGAGTCACCAGATGCTGTCGTCTTTTCTGGGTCTTCGTCTTGCCCTCCGCTTCCCATATTTTCTATATTGTCGCGGGGATCGACGTTGGTTCGTTTATGTCGGCGGCGCGCAGTGGGGGGTAGGGGGAGGGGGAAGGCTTCTTAGAAGGAGGCTACTTTTAAGATGGCGCCGGACCTACTTGCACAGGTAAGGCCTTCGCCTTCTAAGAAGCAGGGGTGCTTCTAAGAAGCCTTCCCCCCTCCCCCTTATCCCCCCCTTCTCGTGGCAGGCAGACCACCAACGTCTTGAAAAAAACAAGGCGGAATCCTTTACTGTTTTTTGTGGTTTGCGTTTTGACAGTTCTTGCGCGTGAGCAACTGGAAGGCCACCTGCGGAAGTGACCGGATTCTCCTCAAAACTCGTTGCCCAGAGCACACTCCGGAATGGGTCACGAGAACCGACCTGACCATCCTCTCGTTGCGACAAAAACTCACAGCGGGAGGTCTTCTGTAATGTTCAGGCTCCAGGGGCCCTCGCCAGGCCCCAGGACAGTCAAAAACTAGTCAGGCGGAAAAGCTGGTCCTGGGGAACGGGTCGAGACCTCATGGATCGACGCTCAGAGAAAATCATGATGTCGGGGTGTGTTCCGCGATCTGCGACGTCCTGGTGCTTATTTATGCCGGTGGTTTTCCTCGATTCCGGCCTCTTGGGCCCGTTGCCAAGCCCCAGAGCCATCAGAAACGGATCTGTGACGGTAGTCTACTGACCTGGGTCGATCCAAACCCCGGTCAGTAAGGCCTTGCAGGGTCGCGCAACGTCTGCAGGATCCTGCCGCGTCCTGCACCCAAGCCCGGGTCACTGCAACCCTGGCTCTGCAGGATCCTGCAAGATCTGGCGCTCTGGCGTACCCCCGTTTGCATTGACCCCCGCCCCGACTGTGGCTAGAAACATGAAGTAGGAAGGCGGTGGAAGTAGATTGGGCTTCCACCCACCTGCATGGCTTCCCCCGGGGCCGTAGGCGACCCGAGGAGGAGGAGGAGGAGGAGGAGGAGGAGGAGGAGGAGGAGGGGGAGGAGGAGGAGGAGGAGGAGGAGGAGGAGGAGGAGGAGGAGGAGATGGAGGAGGGGGAGGTGGAGGAGGAGATGGAGGAGGAGGAGGAGAATGGAGTTAGGAGGAGGAGGAGGAGGAGGAGGAGGAGGAGGAGGAGCACGGGCCGCCTAAGCCCTTCGGAGAAACCCTCCACGCCCACCCCCCGAAGAGGAGGGAAGAGGCAGGAAGGCGCCTGAAGTAGATTGGGATCTCGGACCAACAAAAACCTACTTCCAACGACCAGCGTGCACCCGCCGGAGAAGCGGTCGGGACCTCGTGTGACCATGGCACTGCAGGAGGAGGAGGCGGAGGAGGAGGAGGTGGGAAAGGAGGGGGATGGAGAAGGAGAATAGGGAGGGGAGGAGGGGGATGGCAGGAGGAGGAAGAGAGGAACATGGGAGGAGGAGGAGGAGGAGGAGGAGAGGAGAGGAGAGGAGCAAAGGAGAAGGAGGAGGTGGAGGAGGAGGAGGAGAAGGAGAAGGGAGAGGATGGAGGGGAGGATGGGTGAGAGCATGCGGAGGATGAGAAAAGGAGGAAGATGAGGAGGAGGAAGAGGAGGGGAGGAGAAGGAGGATGAGGAGGAGGGGGGAGGATGGAGATTGGGAGGGGGAGGAGGGGGAGGGCAAGGGGGGAGGGGGAAGTATTAAATCGTCCCGTCTGATTGTCTGGGGATCGGGCCAGTCTGGGGGGGGGGGGGCCGGCTGGCGCTGGCGGCCCCGCCCAGGGGGGGGGGGGGGGGGGAGGGCAGAGGGGGCGGACCTTCTCGGAAGGCGACGGGAGGACGTAAGCCCAGAACTTCCTCGAGGGTGTGCTTCAAGCTGGTACGGCGGGTCCGTGTCGTGCCGACCCCGGCGTTGGTTTCTGACACCGCGGGGATCGTTCAACCTTGAACGAGCGGCCGTTTCCGCAACGTCCAATCGTTCAACATCGACCGATTCTGGGCCTCCGCCGGCGTTCAACGTTGAACGCCGGCGTCGAGGTCGCCGCCGGTCGACACGACACGAACCTACCGTAAGCCCAGAACTTCCTCGAGGGTGTGTTTCAAGCTGGTAGACAGAAAACCCAGACCCCCTCGAGCCATGGCTCGGCGGCGAGCGAGCGGGGGGCCTGTCACCCTCTGGCTCCCCTTCCCTGGCACCGGGGGTCATGGCCGTGCGGCAGGTTCGTGCCGCGGGTCGTTCCCAGACCTTCCTCGAGGGCTGAAAAATAGCACCAGGACCGCGACATCCAAAATCTGGTCAAGGTTTTAAGCCGTCCAGATAGGTCTGCAGGTCTGAAGGGCTATTTCTGCACACGCTGGAAGGTCAGGGAAGGTGGGGGTATCGGGGCAGAGGTGGGGCTAGAATTAGGTCGGGCATCTCCCCCTACAGGCGGATTTGGGGCGACAAATTGACTTGTAGTCAAACATGTATTTTAAAAATTCGTCACCAGACTATTTTTACGATTTTTAAATATCACTCCTGTAGAGGGACACGCCCGACCTAAGGCTAGAGGAAGACGGCTCAAACAGAGGCCCTCGACAGAGGGAAGCGGGTGCATCCAGCCTGGTATGTCCCTGACCCCACCTTGGGATGATCCCCCTCTACGAGCCCCCGACGTCATGGCTTTTGTTCATGACCCGGGAGCGGCCAAGAGGGGGGTGTCCAAGAGGGGGGGTGCAAATCATGACCGGCGGCATGAGCGCGGCCCAGCGGGGGGGCCAGGGACGTAATGAAATGAGTGCAGCGCACACGCAGGTGCTAACAATATGCGTGAATCTTTTATTCCAAGACCTTCTCGCTGCAAGTGATACGTTATGCTAGCTGGTAGCGTAGGCAGAAGGGGGCCCCCTCAGCCAATATGTTTACGGGCAGAGGGGTGAGAGCGTGCAACAGCAATAGCAGGGACCAGCATTATCAGATAAACAGAATGACTATTGCACTCCTGGAGTTCTCTCTGGTCCTGCTCTGAAACTCGGAATGCGGCCTGGCTGTACAACGGGTTTGTTTGCAGCACGGACTTGGATTAGCACGAAATAAAACAGTAACTGAATTCTCTGAGCGGCCAAGGATCGGCAGCTGAAATCAATGAACCGAAACCCGATACGGCATCCGGAATCGGTAATATCTTGGGTAAGACCAAGCGGATGGGAGTGAAACGCGACTCCCGGCACGTACAAGTAGAAAATCAAACTCACAATATCTTGGGCGAAACCAAGCGGGTGGGAGTGAAACGCGACTCCCGGCACGTGCAAGTAAAAAGTCAAACTCGCAATATCTTGGGCGAAACCAAGCGGATGGGAGTGAAACGCGACTCCCGGCACGTGCAAGTAAAAGTCAAATCACTTCTTCTGTACTTGGCCATCCCCACCGGTCAGCTCCTCGCAAGCAATCGACTCCACGAGCGACAGCACTGGATCCGCCAGGAACTTGGTCAGATTCTCACGAAGCTTCGGATCCTCCTTGGTCATGCCGTCGGCTATCATGTGCGTCGTAGGGATCCATCTGACGTTCTTGACCTTCACCTCGTCACGAATGGAAATCACGTCGATCACAGTACGTTTCTCAGACAAACTCGGGGTGAGCTGGTGGAGGGCATCGTACAGAGACTTGCAGTCGGTAACGGTGATAACCTCGAAGATCGGTGGGTGTCGGCCAGCAGGCCGTCCAGTCAACATCTCGGACAGGAACTTCGACAAGTACGACGCGTAGTCCACTCCCAGGTCCTGCGCGATAGCTTCCCCAGCCAGCGTAGATCTCACCACTCTCGGCGTTCTCTTGGACTTGTGAAACAAGAGAGTACATGACGTGGGTCCGGTGAGTATCGCCTCGTCTGCCAGAAAGATGAGGGTGCCGATCTGGGTCTTCAATCCTGGAGCGTTCGCCCATGAGCTGTCTGCAAAACTAACGAAGCAGGCGCGGCTCAAGTCGACGCGGACGATCAGGATGCCAGTCTGGGCTGTGCGGTGCGCGTACTCTACGTGCTTCATGGCCATCCGTAGGTCGTTCAGCTCGGGGTCGGTCCTCTGGACAAGGGAAACCGCGGCTGACAGGTCTGGACGTGTGTGTCCGGACAACCACTGGAGCGAACCGACAGCAGACTCCAGATCTTCGCGCTCAGAACGCGTCAGCTTAGAAGAAGACCGAGTGCTGGACATAACTCCAACCTTCGTGACTGCAATTGCCTTAGTGTAGGCCGCTTGATGAACAAACAAACTTCCGCTGTACGGACCTTGACGTAGGCGCTGGTATTCCTCGCCGAGGAAGACGAAGTTGTCCCACTGCCAGCCTCGCCATTTAATAGCCTTCTCGATCGGTGTGAAGTCGAACTTGGGATGGTGTGCCGCAAGAGCATCGTCCACGTGCATACCCACCGCACAAGCCAACTCATTGTTCGGAAAAAACCACAGGAAGAGAGCTGAATCGAGGCTGTGGAGCTTGCTGCCCAGCGCCAGGAAGGTCGTCACCACGTGCTTGTACCATAGGTACGGCGCCGTTGACTGACCGTACAGGTTGCCGACCACCTCGTAGAGTGGGGCGGTGAAGACTCCGGCGGCTTGAACTATCGGGTCCTTGGGCGGAATCATGTAGATCGCCTCTTCGCGCTCGCTCTGGGCGCCTCCCTGGAGAAAGGCGCTCTCCGCGTCTCCGGTCCCGACTCGCCAGTCATTCGAGACCGCGATCTGGCAGATCAGCTTCTTGCCAGCATCGGTCAGCACCGGGGCGTTACGCGGCAACTTCTCCAGGTCGGGGTCGGAGAACCCCAGCAACACCGGGCGAGCCTTGGCCTTCAACGGCGGAAACCCCAAGTTCTTGTCCCGGTAGCACACGCGCGAGCGGATGCACCGTTTGCGGAGATGAGGGTCACGACGAACTTGTTCGGCCTCCTCCTGCGAGCAGGCCCGAACGGACTTCCAGGTGTCCCAGTTCTGGCACTCCTTGCGCAAGGCCTTGACTCTTGACGTACTCCATGAACTGGTCCTCCGGGTACTCTGCGATCTCCCGCCAGGGGATTTCACGATCCAGTTGACGCTGCTCGCGTCTCGACAGGTTGTTCGAGTCCGTCGTGTCGCCCACCTGTGCTGTCGCACAGTCCACGTCCATCTCGCCGTCCCTGAGGTCGGAGAGCTCGTGGTAGGTCATGTACAGGCAGTTTGTCCAGTCGTCGTCCGGCTCGCTGTCATCGATCGGGTCGTTCTCGAAGTTCTCGATGGGCAAGAGGTGCGCCTCGTAGGCCTCCTGGACTCCGCCAGGCTCGAGAACACGCGGGTCCTAAGCAGGACTGGCTCCTCGACTCCGTCCCAGCCATCCGGTGTGATGAACTCCATCTCGTCCGACTCGTTGGACACGAAGGCTGCTGGGCTCGGTGAGCCCGGTATGTGAGGAAGCTTTCCTGGTCGGGGTTTCTTCTCCGGTGGTGGTGCGATAACCGTCGAAGGTGCCGAACCGCTCGATGGTGGTCGAGCTGCGGACGACTCGCGGGTATGAGGTGCTGATCTCCTCGGCGTGGGCGTCGCAGAGCGCTCTCGTGTTCTGACTGGTCCAAACTGAGGCGGTGCCGGCCACGGAAAGGGCGCAGCGGGCTCTGGAGCTTCGCCTTCGGCTCGACTCTGGGCTCGACGCCGGGTACCGCTCTGGCCTGTCGGCGTCGGAGACTCCGATGCGTCGGCAAGTTGAGGAAGTTCAGCATTTGGCGCAGCTTCAGGGGCGTCGTCGGCTGACGCGCTCCTGAAGTTCTCTTTGGTAGCGTTATCTCCCAGAGAGGCCTGCGCGGGCTCCTCCAGGATGGGCTCTAGCGGGGCTGCCGGAAGAGGTCCTGGCAGCACTCGTGCTTGAGGATCTTCTGGTTCGGGTTGTTGTTCAGGAGGGCCCTCAATGATGATGTTCGAAGCGTCGCCCTGGCCGGCCTTCGCCAAGTCCTGCTCGGCCGTCTTGAGCTCCTTGAGGTCCTCCTCGGAAGGGGTCCAGCCCTCGAAACCGACGGCTGGGCGTATGTGTTCGCGGGCCACCTGCACAGTGCGGTGCCCGATCCGCAACCAGGCAGACTCGCCCTCGCCGTAGCCGTTGGTGCCGGAATCCCAGAAACAGAAAATGCCTGGGCGATACCCTGCCACGGGCGTCTTGCCCCGTCGCTTGCGACCATGCTCGCCCCAGGCTGCCGCGCGCTGTCCCGAGAGGAAGTCGTACTCCTTGCGGTTGACAGGCTGGCGGAGGATGGAGGTACGCAGCGCCTCGTCGGCCTCCAGGTCGGCGATCGCCTTGAGCGCCTCAATGCGGCATCTCTCCCCGTAGGCCAGCATCTCATCCTGGGTGCAATTGTGCCAGAACTCGGCGGACGTGGTGTCAGCCAAGAGCTCGGTCGGAAGCGTGGGTACCCGTCCGAAGGCGGCGGCATAGGCGGTGCGGCCTGCTCGGCGCACTGACTGGTTTACGGCGTGGCTCGTCGAGATGATCGCAAGGTCCACGTGCTCTGGCATCGTCGGCAGGATGACGTCGATCACCTTCTCGAAGACTCGGCGCCAGGCGTAGTTGCCGGATTCGGCCAGGCCCAACTGCCAGTGAGCTCCCGGCGGCACGTACCTCACGTCGATTCCCAACGTGTGGCAGTTGTCCATGAACACGGCTTCGAAGGCGCCGTCCCTGTCGACAACCAGAATCTGCATAATCCCGAACGGGGTGAGCCAGCACGTCTGGAACTTCTCCCAGACGTCTCCTGGTTCGCGTGAAACAATCCGACACACCACATGTAGTCTCGTAGCTTTGTCCACCAGTCCCAAGAGTGCGTGTGTCGCACCGTCGTGGGTCATGACGTAGAACAAGTCGCCCTTGACTAAGTCGTTGAACAGACCCACCCTTGGAATCTGTGACTCCCGCTGTCGCTGAGGTCGTTTGCGACGAAGGCACGCCGGGCACCTCAGCGCTCTGGCGCACAGCAGCGTAGCCTGCGAGGCGCCTCTCTGAGCCAGGAACTGGAAGAACTCGCTGGGCACCGGATGTCCCAAGTTACAGTGCATACGAGCGACAAGCTGGCGAACTTCACGAGGACACTGCTCCTTTGTCACTCCAACAAAACGTATACCAGCCATACCGCCGGACGCGTCAGGCATCCGAGCGATCGGGACGTCCTGCAGGTCGTCGTCCTCGTCGGGCGGCAGGCTGTTGTTCGGCAGCATCGGGTCGTTCGGGTCCGGGGGAAGCGGCATTCGCTTCTCTATCTGTGACGTGTCAGGCTCCTGCGGGAGGGACTCCTGCTTGGCATAGCCGAAGGAGAAAACGGCTAGGTCCGCGGGCGGCGACAAGGCCAACGTCGGGAAGGCCACGTCAACCAGGTCCTCGGCTTCGATATGGTAATGTCCCTTCTCGTCCACGTAGCAGTGACCACGGTGAGACCACGGCTCCTTGTTGATGGGGAACCTCCTTTGCTTGGCTGACTTCGCGAGCTGGATCATCGTGAGGTCCCACGGGACGAGCTGGCTAATCTGTCTCCAGAGCGTGGACGACTTCGAAAGGTAATGCATGGCCTTGTTCCCGCCTCGGTTGGCGGAACCGCCCACGATCTGTCGGACGCCCTGCATGACCGCCTCCCACCTAGTGGGGTCCTTCTCTGGCGAGGCGAACAACACCTCGATGGGACCTGCGTGGTTGTAGGCGACCTCCCACTCGGTAGCCGCAACCGGCATGTCGGCGAACCTGCTCGGATTCCTCTGGGCGGCGACCTGCTGGATCGCGTAGAGCATCGCGTGGGCCATCTCGTCAGTGTACTCGCCGCTGGCCTTTGTCCACTTTGAGTTCTCAATCTGATCGTGCAAGTGGCCCCCGGACTCCGGACGAAGTCCTGGGCAGCGGCGGCTCAGAGCCGCAAGCACGGGCGGCGAGTTGGAGAACCAGCGATACGCCTTGCGAATCGGCAGGCCAGTCTTGCCTGTCTTCCCGTACTGGCACCCATGGCCGATAACGGTCTCGCCTAAGGGCAGGAGCGGGGCGAACTGGAGGTCCTTCCAGATCGCTGACGTCGGCGGGTTCTCGAACAAGAAGAACCGGCCATGCTTCACCTGGTACATGATGGTCCACTTGATCAAGTCAATCAGCCGTCGATCCCGAGCACGAAGTCTCTCAAGCAGCTCGGGATGGTCGACGTAATTCACATTGACGTTGTAGGAGCACCAGAGCGTGCAGGGGAAGCCTACGATCACGTAGAGTGGCTTGTCTTTCAGTATCTGATCTTTCCATCTCTGAGCACCTCGCGTAGTTGACAAGTCCCAGCCGTCCTCTATGTCGGCGCTCGGCGAGGCCCTCAGCTCAAAGCGTGAAGCTAGTCGCGTAGGTCTTGCTGTCCCTGCGCAGCCCTCGATGAGGTCGGTGCCGCACGCCTGGCACTCGTTGTCCAGGTACCGGTGGTCGGGCAACTCAGGAACGGGAATGTCCATGAAGGCCGCGTCCGAACAGCACCATTCCGCGTCTCGTAAATCTGCAGCTCGGCGATCGGCATCTTGACTCACGTTAATAAGCGTCTCGCAGGCTGCGGTCGTCTTCTTAGCAATGCCGAGAAGGCGCTTCCAGGCGCCTCTCTTCACCATCTCGGTCCCCGACGCGGGGGAGGCTGGCGCGGAAGCTTGTCCCATCCCTGGTCCGTCTCCTCGCCCCCGGAGGTCCTGTCCATGTTCTCGTCGTACTCCTCGTCCGTCGGAACCGCCTGCTCCGAGGGTGACCTTGGCTCCGCCTTGGTCCGCGTACGACCCTGGCTCGAGCTCGCCGAAGACTTGACCGGGCGTTTCGGCATTGTTGAAGCAGCTGGCCGAGAGCGCGAGGAGGAACCCAGTGACTTTGTCGAGGTAGGTACGCGAAGAGGATCTTCTTTGTCGTCCACGATCCACTTCCCGTTGACCGACTTCCACCGCCGGCCGCACTGGTCGCAGATCAGCCAGTACCCCTTGGCGTAGTACCTCCTCGTTGCCGAATGGGCGCGCACGTCCCTCTTCTCGCACAGCTGTGAGTAGTTCTGGGCTTGATCCTCTGGTGCCGGCGGCGGTGGCAGCACGCTCTCTGGAACCTGTGCGGCTCCTCTCGCGATCGCCTTCACTGAGTCCGCCATCGGTGTCAGGTAGCCCATCTCGTGGCCCATCTGCGCGATCGCGCCCATCATCCGGTTCGACATCTCCATGTTATGCCGGAACTGCTCGCGACTGCGACCGATGATGTGCGACAGGTGGTTCATGATCAGCTGCATCAGGTTCGTCCACGCGTTGATCGCCAGGTTCTGCCTCGTCAGCTGAACTGTACGACGAGACGATCGGGCCTCCTGCGACTCCGACTTGACCGACTTCATTCACCGACAGACCGAGGATGCTCTCGAACACGGGCGTGGCGTCGGTCAGGTGACAGCCGTCTGGCACGGAGGGCAGGACTTCGCGAGGCTGACGCAGCCCGCGGTGAGTATATGTAAGAGCACACAGTGCTGCGCGTGAAAACTGCATAGGCTGAGACTCGGCTTGAGCACAACTCTCTCCGGAAACACAGGCTGGTGCCTCTGGGATCCACTGGGGCTCCGGGATGATGACGTCCGAGGGGGTGAACTTCCAGGCCTCGGGCTCCCTTGGGAACCCCACATCCTTCAACCAAGAGTCGACTCTCAGAAGCAAGTGGCCATTCGGGGCAATCTTCAAGGGCACGTCGCACAGGTTGATCTTGGTGAAATGAGCCCTTTCCCCCAAGGTGTCCAGCTGGAGGCCCAAGAGCTTCCACATCGGTAGCGATCCCAAGAAAGGCAACTTAGGGTTCACGTCCAAGACTGAGGCACGGCAAACCAGGGGCACCACATGTTCAAGACATATCGGGAAATACACCACAGATTTGCTCACCGCACGACTGACTCCAAACCGAAACCTCTCTTGCTCCTCAGCTTCCCAGAAACTCAATCCCAGGTAGGCGATATGTTCCAGAAACTTTCCCAAACACTCGTAGCCCACAACGTTGCGCTGGCAACCTGTGTCGATGACAATGTAGAAACCCTGGGAATCCTCGAGGAAGCAAACGTCCAAGGGCGTCCGGACATGCCAGATGACGTCGACCTGATGCGATGATTTTGTCCCGCTTCTCGCCGCCTGAGCTCCGCGAGAATCCACGGAAAACTGACGCACTTCTGGCGTTGCCTGAAATCGAACGTGAGAGGCCCCCTTGTCGCTGGTGGCGACCCTGCTCTTGAAGGCGGCCACGCGCTGCTGCAGCTCGTCGGGCGAGAGGTGCGTGACTAAGGCCTCGTGCTCTACTGCATCGGCGGCGTACTCCTCATCGTCTTCATCGGCGGGTTCGTCCTGGTCGATCGAGGCATCATGAACGGCGCGAGCTCGGTCGCGCTTATCCTTGTAGCCGGTCCTCGAAGACGTCTGGCGAAACCCTGGCCTCTGAGATGCCGCCGGTGCTCTTGAATCTCCGGATCGGTCTCCCGTAAATGTTCCACGAATGCTTCCTGAAAAAGACGTGCCGGCCGGCGGCGTCGCAGTGCCTCTCTGCGGCGGTGCTGACGATGTCTGCGGCGGCCTGCCGGGCGGCGCTGGGGACGGCCGGCCTGCAGGGGCGGTGGCACCCCCAGAGGGCGCTGACCGCGGTGGCGGGCGTCGGTCTCCAGGCTTCGGCGGTGAGGACCTTCCGGTCCACCCGCGGCCCAAGGTCAGCTTCTTCAACTTGTCGCTGGTGACGGTCAAAGCGTACGCCACCTCCTGCATGACCTGGATACTGTCAACCTCCTCGGCGTAAGCCTCATTGACTTCTGCTTGATCGGGGTCATCTTCATCTTCGTTCTCCTCGGCCTCGTCCTCGGGAATAATGTCAGCCTCGCTGACGTGGGGCGGCTTCGGCGATGGTCGAGGAGCTCGACTCGGTGGCTGTCGATCTCGTCCTTTGCCGCCTCCTTTGTCGTGATCTCGACCAGCCGACCTACGTTCAGGAGCGGCCGCCTCACCGAGTCTCTTACGTGCCATCCGTCGTACTGGAGCGACCCAGTTCGGGGCGGTGGACGGCCACTGCACACTCATAGCCTGAACGAGGCGGTCGAAGTCATACTCATTGCCCGTGGCGAGGAGAAGGTTGCGCCGGACCTCCGGCGATAGACATGAACTTCGCAACAACTTGAATGCTCGAAACTGTCCTTGCTGAGCTGGACGCTCTGCCCGTTTGAGCCGCATCTCGAGATCCTTGAAATGCGCAACGTACGCGGCCAGCAGCTCACCGGGCAGACGCTCCACTTCTTCATACTCTTCCATGAGGTCTCCAACCTGTAGGATCTGCTGCTCATCAAACACGGCGAGGGAGTTGATCACCAAATCAATACCATCCTGTGAATACAACCGGGTCCACTCCAAGGACTCGATCATCTCTGCGCCTTCACCCGTGATGACGTCTGAAAGGTCCAGGGCCAGTTCGGCCATCGGCTTGTAGTGTCGCGCCCTGGCCTTCCACATGTGTACTTTCCTAACCCACTTCTGGTAGTATCTCGGCTGCTTGTATATATTCTGAAACCTGGCCTCGAGTGGCGGTGGGGCTGGGCATGGTCCTCCGCGCCACTTCTTGCGATCACCTCGGGTGCGTCGAAACTCCGCCGAACTCGGTGGAATCTCCGACTCCTCGTCGTCGTCCTCGGCCCAGTCCTC